GTTTCCCTGTAATCCGTCTCACTCCTGCTCCCCACTTCTCTCCCCACTTTCTCCCTCCGTCCCCTCCTCTTGTCTCCCCCAGTTTGTGGTGGTCGTCAGCATCGTCAACTTCAAGCCGCTCACCTATGATGACTACATCTTCCCCCTCTGGGCCAACTGGGTCGGGTGGGGCATCGCCCTGTCCTCCATGGTTCTGGTACCTGTCTACGTCATCTACAAGTTCATCAGCACACAGGGCTCCCTTTGGGAGGTGAGTTCTGGGCTGCCGTGGGGGACGGGTGGGGGGTGGACTTCTCAGTTATCCCTGTTGGATGAGAGAGGGGAGACAGAGGATACGGAAGCTAGGGTCAGACAGACCCACCTCATTGGCCAAGTTCTTCACCCCATTGGAGCCTTGGTTTCCATCTCTGTGCCTTGAAAGGAAAAAGCAGCCCCGAGCACAGTGCCTGGCACGCGGGAAGTTTGGTGCCATCCCCACTACTCCCACTATTGTTTATGTGAGAAGGAACACTCAGCCCGGAGTTCACTGAGAACTGATTAGACAAGCTGCCGTAAGTGGGCTCGCTCCTGTGTCCCCTTCCAAAGTTTGTCACATCCCCAGGTGACCCAGCTCTCCCCATCAAAGCCCACTGTGATCTGGTCATCTTGGTGTTGACCTGCCTCTTCCTGGAACTTAATGATCTGATCGGCCTAAAATCAAGAGATTTCCGAAATACATTTCTTCTTTTACACGTATGCGTTACATGCATGTAGATGTGTGTACAGATGTGTACATGTAAGTATTTATGTGTGTACCTAAACATACATGGCTATTTTGGAAATGGTGCCCTTTATTCTGAAGTCACATCATTCCTAAAACTTGGTTGTTAAAATGCCCTTTCTTTGATCAGCTAATGGCCACCGTCTTTTCTTCATTTTTTACTTTGCAAAACAAAGATTTCATTCTTCATCCCTTTATCCACCCACTTGCCAGGTACTAACTGAGAATCTGACGTGTGCAGGCAGGATTCTGGGCACTAGACAGAAGTCTCTGCCTTTATGGGGCTCACAGTCTAATCCAGAGACAGGCAAACAAAGTGAGAGTGTAAGAAGATAAGGCCATGAGGTGGCTTAGGGAAGAGAGCGCCAGACGGACAGTCCCCTACACAGTCTTGGATGTTTATTGTCTGTGAAGTCTCAAAGCCTGGGGCCTCTGTCCTGGGTCACTGGGAGGGCCAGTGTTTAGTGAACTCATCCTGGACATGGGAACAGGGGCCTAAGCTTTCTGTTCTTCTCCCTTTAGGAGCTGGGATGCTTCCCACTACCTAGTGACCAGCCATAGGTTCAGAGTGCACACCCCGAGTCCCTGCATGTGCCTACCCCCGCGGGGTCTGCCCTGGTTCCCCATGGGGCCAGGTGCCTCCTTCCACAATCTCACTGTGCACTTACTGAAATGCCCCCTGTGTGTGTTTGCTCAATGCCAGACCCTTACAAGGGCTCTAAGCTCTCCCACAGTAGAGACAGCATGGGTCTTCCAAAGCCCTGGCTCTGCAGAGCCTGGTGTCTGACCACAGTAGGTGCCTCAGGAAATATTCACTGGATGAATGACTCAATGTGAACCAACACGCCCACCAACAAAGGTGGGGTTGTGGACCCTGCATGCTGTCCAAATGCAGGTGGTCCTCATCTGGAGGTGTCACCCAGGTCTCTGGGAGGGTGTCCCTGGGCCAACCTGAGGCCTCCCCCCTGTCTCCACCTTCCCACAGAGACTGGCCTATGGCATCACGCCAGAGAACGAGCACCACCTGGTGGCACAAAGGGACGTCAGGCAGTTCCAGGTAAGTGCAGCCTGGACCGCTGGGGAGGAGAGTGTGGGAGCGAGTCCTGGCCACTCCCCACTGTGCACAGCCCAGGAAGGACCACCCAGCCAGAAATCCCAGAGCCCTGGCTTCCACATCTGCAAAGGCTGTAGCTCAGGGAGTATAGTGTGGGGGTGGGGGTGGGGAGGGCCAGCCCCTCTGCTCCTTGGTCCTGGGATGCTGAATGCCTAAACCTTCGTCCTACCCTGTTCTACCTCTATGAGTGGTCACACGAGTGCCACCCGATGCCCCTGCAGCTGCGCCTTCAGGAATTACTTATCCTGAAGTTTCAGCTGCAGGCGCATTGGTACCACACTGACCTGAGCTCCACTCTTTTTCCTGCAAACGTGGGGATGGGAAACAGGGGGGCTCCCAGCAAGCCCAGCATGTCATTCAGACTTGCTGGGTCACTTTGGGAAGGCTCCTTTGCCCTTTCTGGGCCTCAGTGACAGCAAGGGAATCGTTCTGCATGTCCGCTGTGGTTGTGGAGGGAGAGCCTTGCTTTGTGCCTTGTCTTGCTTTGCTCCTTGTCTGCTCAGCTGGCCCTTGCTCCTCCTGTCCCTGCCTTCGTGGGCTGTGTCGTGAAGGCCTCGTGTCTTTCTCTGCAGCTGCAGCACTGGTTGGCCATCTGAACTTGGCCTGAGGAGGAGGAACCTGCCGACGTCCAGGTCAGAGGCACTGCTTTGCTCCCACCCGGATGGACGCTGTCTCAGGATTCCTCTCCTGGGAGGTGTCCTTCCCGACGCCTCCTTCCTCTTTTCCCAGTTTCGAATGATTTAGTGACTCTGGTTTTTGTTCACCTTCTGTTCATCTGGCCTGAGGGCTGTGAGCTTGGAGGATGGCCTCGAGGGAGAGGAGGAGAGGAGAGAACAGGAAAGCTGACTTCTGCTGAATCCCCTTCGCTCCGGGGGACAGCTCGCCCACTCTGGGAGCCCGCCCAAAATGAGGTCCGCAGCTCAGGCAAAATTCCCCATCACATTTGCTTGTACTTTGGATCACAGAAGAAATCCTCAGTCCTCCTAATCAGAGAGAGGATGGGTCAGACATCAAAAAACAACAAGTCCAGCTGAGTTTAGTGGGGCGTGTAGCTCACCCCACCCAGAGCTCTGGTGTCTGCACCTCGGTCTGAGAGTTTGGGTTTATTTTTCCCTAAAATGAAGTCAGTGGATAGATGCTTTGGAGGGTATTGAGCAGAAACCCTCATACTTACATTTTCGCTCTGGTTAATTTGAGTTTGATTTGTGTGTGTTCTGGAACATTCTTCTGCCATCCAGTGATCAGATGGTCCAGACCCATAGGTGTCAAGGGGAAGCGTGTAAATGGACCACAGTGAAGTTCTGTGCAGGGGCCTATGTCAGACAAGCTGGCAGAGCCCACTAGGGGGGCCTTGGTCTGTCACCCTGTCAGGAGCGAGCCCAGAAGCCCATCCATGGTTCCTGAGACCTTCCCAGGGGGGCGTGGGGCAGGGACCTGATGAGACCAGCTGTGACCAGGGGATTCTCTGCTGTCCTCATGAGGCCAGGTGGGTGCCAGTGGGCACCCTAACAGGCTGTTGTATTTATTTATGGTTCACGAACACCTGCAAAGCCTTTCCCTGGGAATCCTACCCAGCATGGACCAGGGTCTTGAGCAATGGAGAACTGGCTCTGAAAACTCCCTTAGTCTCTCCTCACTAACTAGCCTTGGCACTTTTAAGAGCAGGGTGGGACCAAGCAACCCAGTCACTCATGTCGAGGGAGAACAATCTGGGGAGATAGAACAGGTTGTTGGTTGGTTTTATAGAATGTCCGGGTTTACTTCTGATGTACACTTGCACGTGGTGCCCTCTGGTGGTGGCAGTGGGTAGTTTTGATTCAGAAAGAGAAATGACTCCTGGTTTGCTAAGTTGGTGGCATCTTTCTTGGAGTTTCTGGTTTGAGTCTATTATTCTGAATTGGAAAGGACACTTATTCTGACTACGGGAGTCCCTGTTGCAGAATCTTGGGCCAAGATACAAGAGGCCAGTGCTCTTACACTTGGCGTGTAGGGAAACTCATCTGGAAGGTGCTTTGCCTAAAACTAGGATGTTGCTGAGCCTGAGCTGTCCTGGGGGAGAGAG